TTCGCCTACCTACGGGAAAGGAGGGGAAGATTTCTCGCTAGGATATCGCATCCTATGCCTACGTACTTTCATACAGCATGAAAGATCAGAGCAAACGTAGTTCGGGCTACGGAGGACACAAGTTTGCCTAACAGTTTTTTATCTCCTTCTGAAAAGGGTTTTTGATTAAAGGTCCAAGAGGACAAAAACAGAGTTTGAATGTTTGTTTGAGTTTTTTACGGAAAGAACTGTTTTTTTTAGTCTGTTTGCAACTTGTACTGTACTAAAGACTTGTGATTTGAGAGTGACTACGTCGCATGTCACCCTAAGGGTACCATACTAAGCAACCAGATTACTGAAGAGTGACCCTCCAGCAACCTTTTCTCAAATAGCTTAAGGCTCGTAACGTACAACACGTGTTATCCTTATTACTGTGTTTTTTAATTGTTTTGAGATGAGAAGAGAAAGACGCTCTAAAAAGCCTATGGTTGAAAGGGAAACTAACCTAATTTTATCATGCATGGGTCAAAACCTAATGTATGTCATAATTTCCTCTTGCACAGAGGAAATCAGAGATCCTAGGGGATAAATAGCAAAAGACAGCAAGCAATTACAGTAAACAGTAAACAGTAAACATGCAACAGTATAAGAGAGGCAAGGGAGAAAACAATAGGCAAGTGGAGACAAGCTCCACCTCAAACCTAGAGGTAATCAACACAAGCAAACAGACAATACAGAGAAAAACAAAAGACACAGAGGAGGCAGCCCAAGCAGCAGCAACTTCTGCAGACAGCAACAGCAGCTCTAAACAGCAAAGTTGAAAAGACAGCAAAGTTGGATAGACAACAAAGTTGACAGCCAAGGCTTCATCTTCAAGCAAGCTTCTAGCTTCAACAAGCACACTCCAAGAGAAGGATTAATCATCAATATCATGTTATAATGTTAAGAAACTTAATGACAACCAAAGGAAATCACTAAGAACTCAACATTGCAAATGAAAGGTATCCTCAAAGTTCTACTCACTTGGGCATACCACTCATCCCTCCTAAGGCGATATGGAGCTTCCCAAGGAGGACTTTATGTCATTGGATGGAATAGAGGCCAACAATGCACTCTATGTTCGAAGAAAGAATCAAAACTAGGTCTAAGGCACATCCTAAAACCCTAATTTCCTAAGCTCCTAAGAAACTTCCACAAGAGGAAAAGCCTTCAACTCCAAGCTCCAATATTCAATCTCAAGCATCTTCAATGAATCCAGAAGCTCCACCAAAAATAATTCAAGCTTAAACCCACTCCAAAGCAACCAACCAAACCAAACAATCCAGAGCACTCAAGAGAGGAAACCACAAATACAAGCCACTTGCAAAATACAACTAAAATAGAAAATGAAGTTGCAAAATTCTAATAAAATTCCTAGGGGAACATACATATTTAAAAAACCTAGTGAAAAAATATTGAAGCCTAAATCAACTTCTAAGTTATCTAAACAATTCCTACATTGAGATAGGTCAAAGGAATCCACAAGTTTGGGAGGGTCCTAATCTCAATACCTAAAACAGAACCTAATGTTGTTCTAAAATTCTAATAAAAATTCTAGGGGAACATGAATGTCTACCCTAAAACATACTAAAAAATCAAAGCCAAACTCATCACCAATTGGAAGAACAAAATTCAACAGAACAGATAGTCAAATATGCAAAATTAAAAGAATTAACAAAAATAAGAAAAATCAAATTAAATTGAAAAATGTATGAAAATGCATTTTATTGATTTCAGAAAATCACAAATTCTCTCAAGATCATGGAGGTATTTTTAAAATAATTTTATGATCAAGAATGAATTTAATATGATTTTTGGAAGCAATAAAGCATTTAAAATAAAACAAAAATGAATAAAAGAAATAAAATGCTGAAATAAAACATGAGCCATTGGATCTGGAGACTGGTCAAGCAATCCAACGCGCTAGAGCTTGCCAGCGCATTAAGTGAAACGCCTGCATTTTGAATTAAAATCTCTTCTCCTCAGATTAAAACACAAGCGTTGGATCTTCAGGTCAGTCAATGGTCAAGGCAAGATCCTGTGGTCTACAACTCATCTTCTCCAAATCTCAGGTCATCAGAGTGGAGATCCAGGCTGGTGGTTGGTGGTGGCCGGAGAAGACTCCAGTCGTCTTCTCTGGCGAGGGTCCAGGTTCAGGCAACCAAAAATAACAATCTCTACACCAATTCCACTCAGTTTTCAACGTAGATTCCAAATCTTTAATCAAAATGATCTAACTCTCAATAGGTAAGCAAACACGAAGCAATGTTCAGAGATGTCATCCAAATCAACTCTCACCAAATGCTAAATTAAATACATAGAAATCCTCCTCATGTTGCACTGATCATCCTGATATAAACAACTTGCCAGAAAACCTCATGAATCAAGAGATTCAAGTCCAAACAGATCTGCTATGTCATCTTCAAACATCACCAATTGAGTCCAAATAAAGCCTAAAACGATCTATGTCTTGTGTAGATCCTAACCACAGGTCTAAATCTAATCATATCATGCTAAATCATGCTAGAAGTTGAATGTTACTAACCTGGTATAGATCTTGAAACAGAGGTACTTAGAGCTCGTGGCTTGCTTCCAAATGCTCCAGATAGCTTCAATGATCCACAAGGAAGAGATTGCACACTTCAATTTTGCTTGAATTGGCTCCAAACTCAGAATCCGATTTGAACTTGCAGTTGAGAAAATTCACTTGCTCTTGCTTGCTCTGGTGCGAAGTAATGCTCAACCTTCATCTGAACTTGCTCTAATGAATATATAGAAGAGTTTCATGGGCTTTTGGATCCAAATTGAAGCCCAAAACAGTCATTTACATTTTCTGATTTTTGCTTGCAAGTTCATACATCAGTCGTGCCATACAAGCTAGTTTCTTGTTCTAGAAGGTTCTAACACCTTGCAAATTGCATTTGGAGTGAATTTGGATTGATAGAATGGCCTGTTATGCATTGTGTGATGATTTGGTCATGTAACTTTCAAGTGAAGCAACCACATGACAACTCTCAAAATTTGGCTTAAACTCAAAATTCTGGTATTGCCAATGCTCTTAGAATGTGATTTCCAATCATAAAATGTACTTATTTACTTGGTTTTGGTCATCTAACTCAAAAAGTCAATTTTCCCTCCTTTACACATTTGAATTTCCTTCATTTTCAAGCCATTTCAAATGACTTTTTGATATGAGCCAAACTAAACTATCATGACCACTTGGTTGCACTAAAAACATCATTTTAAGCAAGTTCCATGTTGAACAAATTTCCATTTGAAGCTTGCAAGTTGGAGATTTTGGCCTATGCTTGAAAATGACCTATAATCTCACTTTCCCAAAATACCCCTGACTTGTAAACCTCATAACTTGAGTTCTACAAATCATATGGAATACTTCTAGTACAATTTAGAAAGCTAAGATCATGAGGAACAACTTTCATGTTGACCAAGAGTTCATTTGAAACCTCCTTCTAGGTCAAAAATAGCTTTGAAGCCAGATGATTTTCACAGACAAATTTTAGTGGCATCTGAGGACTTGTAACTTGTCTGGACCATAACTTGAGTTCTATAAATCCAATGGAGGACTTCTAGTACTCAAATTAAAGGTATTGAGATGCTCTACAAGTTTCATGTTGGCCAAATATCCCTTTTAAACTTTTATCTTGACTTATGTGGCCTTGAAGTTAGGCACTTAATAGGGTAATTTGCATTGAAACCCTAATTTAGCAACTTCCTACATTCTTGATTCTTCTTGATTTGATTTTGGCACAACACCAAAAATGTCTTATCACATCATTCCATGAACTCCATGACCTTAAATTATGCTTGAATGCTTTTCAATTGCATAATTGACATAGGGTTGATCCAGATGAAACCCTAATTGTCTGCACTTCAACTGTGGCTCTTGCATTTGACACAATGACCTGATTTAGCTCCAACATGGCTCTCTAGGCACCCCATGAGCTCTATACACATCTCATATTCACACTTCATGCTTCACATCCCATTGATGGTCCTCAGCTGATCAAGACCTCCCACCACCTCCTGATGACTTGGATGACTTCAAGAGCTTGGATAAGATTTCTTGCTAGGCTTCTCTTGATAATAATCACACTTGATCCCCTGTCGAATGAATGATATGCCATGATATGCAAATGATAGAACTATGCAAATGATAATGCAATGAAACATAAACCAAGTAAAAGATGTTGAGCAAATTTTGGGGTGCAACACTCAGAAAGGACCATATTGTATTCTTCTAATGTTCATTTGCAGCGACACAACATTTATTCTGAGTTTGATACTATAAGCAAGGAGATTCGTTCTCTTCGTGAAGATCTTAATGAATTGACCATGCAGATGGAGGTCTCTGATGCGACACATGCCACTGGATATGGTTTCCTGTATCTAGAAATATATAATCTCAGACGCCAGCTTGCAGAGGCACAGGAATCATGTCCACATATGAATTAGGGTGTCCGTCGCCAATCACTTTAAAGGAATTACTAGCGCATTGAGGACATTGCTCACACTGAGTGTGGAAGAGATTTTTACCGCATTATTATCATTATTTTTACCGCATTGCTATCATTATTTTTACCGCACTATTATTATTATTATTGCCATTTAATTCACCCCAGACATATTATTATTATTAGTAGTTTTATTTCCACATATTCAAATTTATCAGTTAATTTTAAATTTTCAGGATCTTTATTATTTTATCATTATTCATGTTTAATGTGCATGACTTGAACAAGGCGCAGGATGACTTGAACAAGGCGCAGGATGCTTTAATGACTGATAGATTTGATGCAGGAAAGATTCATATGGTTAAGGAATGTTCTGATAATCTTATTAGACTACAAGAGCTGGATGATAGTATGGTGAGGCAACGAGCCAAAATTGACCGGTTACGGCTTAGTGACGGCAACAATAAGTATTTTCATGCCTCTATTAAGATGTGACAACAGCTTAATAACATGACACAAATTCAAAGAATAGATGGTACCTGTATTACAGATCAGCAAGGAATGGAAAATGAAGTGATCTCTTTCTACAGGAAGCTAATGGGTACAAAGCTGGACTATCTTGAAGGTATTGATACAGCAGCTATGAGAAATGGCAGCCAATTGAATGTTGCGCAGAGGGATATGCTGACGGGGCACGTAAGCGAAGAAGAAATCACTACATCTTTACAAGGCATTGGTAATGATAAGGAACCTGGTATTTATGGGTTTGGAGCGTATTTCTACAAGAAAGCCTGGAATATAATCAAAGTGGATGTCATAGCAGTTGTGCAGGAGTTCTTCAAGCATAACCGTTTGTACAGAGCAGTTAATTATTCTGCTGTCACTCTTGTCCCGAAGCACAAGGGCACGAAAGAAATTAAAGACTATCGACCTATTGCGTGCTGCAGTACCCTGTACAAAATTATTTCCAAGATCTTGGCTAACTGTCTCAGCAAAGTACTAGGTACAATAATTGGTGCGAATCAAGCAGCATTTGTCAAAGGGCAGAGAATTCACAACCATATCTTACTCACGTATGAATTGATTAAGGGATACGATAAGAGAGGTATTCCCCCCCCCCTCGATGTTTTATGCAAATGGATATTCAAAAAGCGTATGATATAGTTGATTGGAATGCGCTTAAAAATATTTTGATTGAGATGGGTTGCCCACAACAGTTCACTAAATGGGTGATGACTATGGTTTCCACTGTTTCGTATAGATTTAACAGCAACGGCCAACTCACAGACGTCCTGGAAGCGAAAAGGGGGCTTAGACAAGGCAATCTGATATCACCTATGTTGTTTGTCATTGTTATGGAATGTTTGAACAGGTACTTATACAAGATTCAGGAGGATTATGATTTCAATTTTCACGCTAAATGCGATAAGTTGAAAATCACAAACCTTTGCTTTGCGGATGACTTACTTATGTTTTCCAGAGGAGATAAGGTGTCAGTTGAAATGATGATGAATACTTATGGTAAATTTTCGAAGGCCACCGGTCTCGTAGTTAATCCGCAGAAGTGTTGAATTTACTGTGCTGGCATGGATGAACTGACAAAACAGAATATTATTAAAGCATCGGGGTTCCAAGAGGGTCATCTGCCTTTTAAGTATCTGGGGGTGCCGGTAACAGGTAAAAAACTCTCTGTTCGCCATTATGCACCGTTATTTGACAAAATCATGGGCAAGATAAAGCATTGGACTGCGCAGTTATTGACTTACGCGGGGATACTTCAACTCATTAACTGTATTATGTTTGCAATGACTCAGTATTGGCTCACTTATTTTCCTTCCCCAAAACTGTACTTCAAAGAATAGAGTCGATTTGTCACATTTTCCTCTGGACAGGAAGGTTTGAAGGGAGCCGTAAAGCACCTGTAGTATGGAAACAGATTTGTAGCCCTCGTAGCCATGGCGGTTTAAACGTCATTGACCTTGAAGTTTGGAATAAAGCAACTATATTGAAGCTGCTTTGGAATGTTAGCGGAAAGGAAGATTCGCTTTGGGTAAAGTGGGTACAAACGTACTATCTCAAAAACAAAGATCTGATGGAGATCCAGTGTAAACAGAATGATTCATGGATAATGAAAGGTATGCTCAATCTCAGGGAGGACTTTCAAAACATGAGCAATCAGGAAGAATTCAAGACAGGGGGTTTTCCGAATGAGTAATCTGTATGCAAAATTACATGATTGTGGTCAGCCGGTGGAGTGGAGGAATTTGGTGTATGGTAACAACGCAAGACCGCGAGCTAATTTCATGTTGTGGTTTGCTTGTCATGGGAGATTAACAACGAAAGATAGATTGCATAAGTACGGTAAGATTGATGATACTAAGTGTTGTTTCTGCGAGAAAAATGAATCTCTAAACCATCTATTTTTTGAATGTGATTGCTTAAAGAGCGTTTAGACTGAGATCCTAAGATGGGCTCAAATTAATCATACCCCTGGAAAACTGGCATAGAGAGATGAAGTGGATTATTCAACATACTAAAGGTGAAGGTGTCCGAGCTGCAGTCATAAAAATGGCGATTTCTGAAACCATCTATGAGATATGGCAGGCTCGGAATAAGAGCATATTTGGGGAAAAACCGGAGATCACTACTATAAGAAGAAAAGTCATAGATACTTTGGTGTATAGAGGGTGGAGCACTAACAAACTTAGGAAGTATATAGCTATTTTAATGATAGAGGGGGTTAGATTGATTGTTAGTTTTTTTCCCTTTTGGTCCTAGGTTGTCTTGTTTGTAGCTGGATCCATTGTATCTATCGTCTTCTTTTTAGTAATATATTTTACTTTACTTTTTAAAAAAATGTGCATTTTTATCATTTATATCATGTAAAAATATTATTTATGTCTCTTGCATGTACCAATATCTCAGAAGACGCTACATACACCCTCAAACGAGGATCCAAACCCAGCCAAGGCCCAAATCCCATGCCAGCCCAAAAGACAAAGATGGCGGACACCGTCTAACCCTAGGCGGACGCCAAAGGGTCTGAAGCCTTTTACGAGCCAGATTAGAGAAAAATCACATTTTCTCTATTCTCTTCATCTTCAACCTCTAAAAACTCTCACTTTCTCCATTATTAACCACATTCAAAACCCACTAAACCTCATTAACCTCTCACTCAACTACCATTTCCCACTATCACACTCACTTTTCATCTATAAAAATCCAACCTTTCATCCATACTCCACAAAAATTCTCAATTCACAAATTTCACTAAAACCCTCATTTTCCACCAAACATCCACCAACTATGGCAGCAAGGGAGCATGGACAAATAATTTTTTGCGAAGGAAAAGATGGGGATAGGCAGAGGCAGAAATTTGAAGACTTGCAGACATGCAAAATTTTCGCGACGAGGTATATCGATGAAAACTGTCTGTATAGTCTAGGTATCCATTTTTGTGTAGTCTGCCTGTTGGATAATTTACAATTGCATGATATTTTTATCCGTAGAGAACCAACTTATAAAAGGCTAACCCGAGAATTTTTGAGTTCGTTAATTTACACTGTTAGAGCTAACACTGCTAGCACTGTCGATACGATGAAGTTTATGATGTTTAATATGGAATATGAATACACCATTGACGCTCTTGCAGGTCTATTAGGATTCCCATTTAAGGAGGGTGCCATTTGTGAGGCACATTTAGACACTAAATGAAAAATAGAGGCTTTCCAACTGTGGAAAGGCCTGACTGGTCATGCCATTAGTTCCTTCGAGGAAAACTTGGCCTCTGATATACATAACCTGGTCATACGTGTTTCCCGCCATTTACTGGCTGATACCATCTTTTCCTGAGAGAGCTCTAACAAATTAAATTCAAAAGAATTCATTTTTCTACAGGCTTCCTTCTATCGTAGAATATTGAACCCCGTACCTTTTATGTTAGCACATATATGTGTTGTTGTGAAGAAGACAGGAACCGTGTCATTTGGGGGATTGATTACCTCCATTGCACGTGCCCTCCAACTTGACACTGACATAGACACATTATAACCACTTCCACCTTGCACCATAAACTTAAAATTCTTGAGAGGTATGCGATTGTGCAAGGTGAGGAAGAAAGGAGGATACACCCTCATGGTTCGAAATATAGCTACATCGAGTGTTGCTTTACCTTGTTCCCATTGTACCGATGTGTGACACAAAAGAAACTGGACATATGATTTACAAGCTAATACTATTCTCGGTCCATTACAACCAAACATCCCAGAAGACGAAGGTAACAAGAACGATCACGAATATGAGCGGATGAACCAATCCGTCGTTCATAATATTCCTTCCCCACAGGAATCACTTGTACACACTCCACCATTTACTAACCCTTCTGTAGGTGCACCTTCTGGATTCTATATTACATAGGAGATGTGGAGACACCAACAAGATCATGAAGAAGAACATGATGGTCTGCTCTATGCCATGTATGAGCAGCAACAGGACATGATAAACTTCATGCATGAATCACAACGGAAGACTGAGCTATCCATGCGTTCTATGATGGAGTCTCAGCTTGCCGTTGCCTCTCTACAGCAATGCCAGCAAGCTCATTTTGACAACCATGCTGGTAGAAGCCACTCAAGGTTCCATACTAGGAAACCTTTGTGAGCTCCGACAGGCTAATGACTCACTAGCAGCAAGGATTAAGCGGCTTGAGCTTTCACAAGGTACACGACACTGTAGTAGAAGCCGTTGTTCTTGACATCCAGAGTAGGGAGGAGAGGGTACCAGTGGTCAGCAGTAGTGATGTCTAGGTTTTGCCTATTTCTTTCCACCTTTTATCGAAACATTGGGGACATTGTTTTGTTTAAGTTTGGGAGGAGATATTTATTGTTTTTATTTTTCTTTGTATTTTTCATTTTATTGCTTTCTAGTTTAGTTCTAAATATGCTTTTACCTTATTTTTAGTTTGTTTTTAATAATTACATGTGCTTGACGAGTCGTATGTGTAGTTTGTCTATTTTCACCCATTTCTTGAGCCATACCAAAACATTTTGAATAAAAAAACAACTTTTATTTTGAAATTTTGGGTTGTTAGACAAGTTTAGAAACACGCCATATGGAGTCACCAATATCGGACTCGTTCCAAAAACAAAGTCAGCGTGTAAGCTTTACTTCACACTCTGATAGTAAATCACTTACTTCCTCAGGGAACCTCCGGCAATTTCAACTAATTGACAAATCCCAATTTTCTCACTTTCCTTCTCATTTGAAGTTTCCGTCAAAATAAACATCTCAACACCGTATTACGCAAACTCCTCAAAATAATCCCTTAAGCACTTAGCTTAACTCAGGACAATTCACTGCTCACGCCACACAAGCTTGCAAGACACGTCTATCCCATCCAACACAATCCCGTCTACTATTAACAAGAGATTAAGGGTGATCAGTTCCTCAATTTGTTAATAGACAGCCGAAATCATGATGGGGTACAAACCATCGTTACCAAACTATGATAGCATTCCTCAACACACTAAGCCGCCACACCGTAGCATTCCGGAGAAATACAAACTTCTCCCCCACTGGAATCATTCCTCTCCTGCCAACGAAGTTAGTCAACAACATGTACCGACAGTGTTTTCACACACATGCCGCATACTAGGGATTTAAACCACAACACCAGGTTAAACAACACACAGTCTCCATCCCAAAGGACAGACTTAACTCAACTCAACAACACTGGCCGGACGGACCGACCTGCTCTGATACCAATTGTAACACCCCACTTCCCCGTATTAGATAAAATATAAATATTATAATAATAATCAGAGTTTTCACCAATTAGTGGGATATCACATCTCCAAATTTTATAAAAATACTTTATTCATTCTTTTCAAAATAATACAGCGGAATTTGTTTAATAAAATAAAATACATCAAATTCATGATACGTCACAGGATTACAATAAGTTTGACATAAAACAGTTAAAACACCCATATCCCGTGTTACGTATCAGAGCATCCTACGACTCGACTGTCACACCACTATCCAAGTTAGCTAAGCACCTGGATTATTTGTACTTTCGAAGAAGCACAGACCACAACAACAACAAAGGGGTGAGAAATAATGATCAGAATATAATGGTAATGTAATACATGTAAACAAGGTAGTAA